AAAAATTTGTTAACTTGACTAAACTTTTCAACTAAATATTATTTAATTAATTGAACATATAAAAATATTTAAATCAAATATAATATATTAAATCTAACAAAACGTATATTTGACTTAAATCCTAATATATGTTCAATTAATAAAATAATAATTTAATTGAAGGATTTAGTCAAGTTAACAAATTTTGTTCAGAGTACCAATTATCGAAACATATTCTTTACACAATTTGTCTTATTGAAATGAAAATCAACAGTGCACGTTGCAACAGCAACGTTGAACTCAACACGGACGCGTATAATTAATATTGTTAAAACATTCTCATATAATTTCTTGCAACAATTAAGTTTCACGAAGAGTCGGGGTATAGACGTGAAACTCGGTTTGATATGATAATCTTTCAGTTCATAGTAGAAAAAGCCCGCGGCACAATGCGCTAGCAGTACAGTCGAACAGGTGGCAGTTCTATATTTTACCTTACCTTTACTTCGCTGCGGCTGACTCCTCCCGGCTTCTCTCTACTTTCGCCACCGCTTCGATCCTACTCTGCTCTCTCTGCCGAAAATAGCGACCGTGAACTTGCCTAGTTCCCTTGAATGAGAAGAGATATCCGTGCTACGTATGCGTTCCAACGTGGAAATTACGATTTTAATAGATCCACTGTAACAAAAATATATATAATGTTCATCGAGATTATTACATCACGGGAATATGAACAACGTATTAACAAATAAATCGCGAAATTACATGTATTTTTGGATGTATCTTTCTCATGCAGACATATCTTTCTCATAACATTTTATCGGCTCTATGTATGAGTGCGCGCGCGTGTGTGTGTGTATGGTGCTGTTTTTAATAATATCAAAAGCACGTTTAATAAAATTTTAAGAGCTTTCGTGCACGTATATAGAGTTTCTCTGGTTCTTCCATAATTTTTCAATTAATAGAAAACATTATTTACTTCTCTCAACCAACTCTTCAATTATTATACGCAACGGCGCATTTAATTGCCTGATCAAATTATCGAAATTAGAATTAACAGCCTCGAGAGAGTGCGCGTTTTTTGCTGTTCTCGTTGGCAACAATCGTTGACAAAAAAAAAACCCGATCGAGAGATTCGGCAAGCAGCAAAAAGTTTTGGAAACATTGATGACAAATGTCGGAAGCCACTTCGCTATCGTGCCTTAACTCCGTGACGACGAGAGATATCGCGTCATATATATGTGTGCCTACAATTTCTGACAATTCAAAAATGTCCATTATAAATGCGACGTAACGTGGCGGCGGTCCTCGTACGAAAATAGGAAAAGTTTCGGAGCGCGCGCATTGTTTACACCGTCCGTTGCAAGGGCGACGCGCAAATTCCGCGAAATCCGGCACCGCTCGATGTTAACGCGTGCACACGCACGCACACACACACACACACACACACACGAGCCGCGACACACCGCGGCGTTATCATAACCTAGTGACGCCAAATATTGATTTTGACACGTACACGTGACGAGACGTGTCGGACACTGACGCGCTGTAACTGCATACATGTATGCATATAACGCGCGTGCACATGCACACATATATGTACATATACATGTATATGTATATATATTATACATACGCGGGTCCGACAATATATGTATGCATTCGGCAGCTCGAGAACCAATGCACGTCGAATTTAGCCACTCACACATGGACTTATGCGCGTTGATCCATCTCGCGAGCTCTCGAGCTGCCACTTGCACATATACATATACCTGTAAAAGGAAGCGGCATTACATCGACAATATACATCGAGGAAAAGGGCGCAAATTTTCGATCTCGTTACATTTATGCCGATTTGATTTGCAAAACATTAAACTTTACTGACATTAAAATAATATCCATTAGATAGATTATTCGACAAATAAAAGCCTTATTTACTTAGACTTACAAAAAGACATTACACGATATATTTGCGAATTAATATTTATATTTAAAATTTCACTCAAGTTTTGTATCTCATGCATATAACGATAACATAATAATATTTCTCGTTATAATATATAATGTCTATATTTAAATAAATGATGATAAATGATAAATACAATGCAATATCGTAATTGTTTCTCTCTTTCTGTATATGCGCGTGTGCGTGTGTATTTTTTCATTTATATAATATATTCTCAGAAAGACAGCATTGATTCTTAAATCAAACATTAAATTTTCTCGATACGAGGAATATTTTTCGCTTAGCATTTATAATGCGATGGTCGAGCATGTTTGTTTCGAGTTTGCAATAAACACACTGGATCATCGGATAATGGCACGGCAAGATGCCGCTCTACCGAAAAGGTTAAACTCAAATGCGCATTAAGTACTTACGAAGAAGTCGTTGACGCTGCATTTCGGGTCGATGTTTTCACAGCCGGTTAGTATACGGTTGCATGCGCCGCGTAAAAGGAGGTCATGGTACAACCAAATAGCAATAATAATACAAGAACTATAAGTCCCACACACCGCACATCCGACACTTGAAAAACTTGAAATTCTAACAAGCGTTTGTTGAGCGTACGCTGGCGACATCTGGCGTGAAACAGAAAATACCGACATTAAAAATTATGCATATAATGTCGGTAAAATACTCTGTAGGTTCAAATTAAAAATTGATACTTTGATACAAATATTTGTCAAGTTAAAATCCATGAATAAATATCATTCAAAAATGTTTTAATGATTTAATTATAATTTTGTCATATATGAACAAGAGTAAACAGAGTAATACATATAAAGTAGGGTTGGGTAAGTTAATAATTTTTTAAAACTAAGTTAAGTTAAAATTAGTTGCTTATAAAATTAATGTAGTTAAGTTAAAGGTTTAATAAACAAAAAATTAACACAGTTAAAGTTAAGTTAAGACTAAATTAACTGACGTTAAATCAAAAATTAATTTTTAAAAATATTATTTACATTAAATTTTAAATTAGAATTTTGTTTAATTCTTTGAAAATATATAATAACAAATAACAAAGAAATATTGATTTTTATATAAAAATAAAATAAAATTTTTTGTAATTACAATTGATGATAAATGAACATAAAAATTAATGATACTTTAATTTTAAAATAACACGTTTATAACTTATAAAAAAACAATAATGGTATTCAGAGATCAAAAATTTAACTTGGGAAAAAAGTTAATAAGTTAAAGGTCAAAAATAACTAGTTGAAGTTAAAAATTAATACATTTTGAATTAACTAAGCTAAGTTAAAAGTTATTAATTTTTCAACTTTTTTTTAACTTTAAACTAATTAACCAGTTATTACCCAACCCCGATATAAAGTAGTATGATAATAAATACCAGGATAAAAGCGCAATAATTTCTCTCTCTCTCTCTTTCTCTTTTTTTCTTTATACAATATTATCAAAAAGATAACGTTGCTTCTTGATGTTCCTCGCGAATATATTGCGGCTGAACATGTTTATTCTGCAATCAAAACAAATATATTAGAAAAGCTGCCGTATCGAAAAGATTAAACGCAATAATGCGCATCGACAAGTCGGTTATTGCGTGTTTCCACGGCCAATTATGATTACAAGGTAATCTATATCATGTAACCATCAACTCGTCAACGATTTCTCGGTATGTTATGTGTTTTATGTAAGAATGATTATGATACGTACACAACTAAACAACAATATCGATGTAAAGTCTGTAGTGCACAGTGGCGCAAAGTGCATGTGGACGACATCTGGTGGTGAAACAGAAAATGTACGACTATAAATTTCTACAATACCGACAAACGTTAGCACGATAAAAAAATGTTTATGGACACGGTTTACCATATGTTATCTCATGAAAAAAGAATTGTACGTAGAAAAGATTCTTATCACATTCTCCATATTATAATAAATTATTGCTAAATGCGTATTTTAGAAATAAAAGATTCGGTGTGTGTCACTGTAAATATTGTACCAAGCAATATTGATTTTTGACAGAAGACTTACAATAATTATATATTCCATCATATATTTCGTAAAGATGATGCCTTGTTCGATTGATAAATATATGCTAAGTGGTCATGATTATGCGTCTTCTAGGACTTGGAGGATAGGATGATTTGTATTTATTATTTATTTTCTAGTTAGAAATACGTGGGATGCGCGAGCGTATAGATGTCGCGCGACAAAATCATACCTCGAGAAATATGCTGCTTCACGTCTTATACATATATACATACGTGTATATGTATACTTTTCTTTAAAGGTACACGTCAAACGTCAGGAGAGACAAAATTCAATAAAAATAATAACAAAATTAATGGAGCGGCTGCATTTGGCAGCTAAGCGAATGCTTCTACTTGAACGTCGACGTGATCGTCAGCTTCGTGCACGTCCGTTACCCCTTTTTTCAACGATATATCTCTTGAACATATACAGACACTGATTGTCATATGACGCGACTAGGCGGTCGACGCAACGAAACTCAGAGTATGCTTACCGCTCGTACAGTCCGGAACAAAAAGTCGGGCGGGCTCTCGTCGGAAAGTGTCTAATCGCGGTGTTAAATCGCAATATTGCGCCAGGGGCGTGATGAGAAATTTGTAGAGAAAAAAAAGTTGACCCGCTTCGGTGTATATAGTATCCGTATTCATGCCAGCGGTGCGAAGTTATCGCACGGCGAAGGTGATTTTTCCGGAAGCGCCGCCTTGGAGCGACGCGCGCAGACTGTACTGTGGACGCCACCGGCGGCCACGAGCGGCCGCTTGACGTACAGTACGATCCAAAAGCGCGCGGCGTCGAGTCGACGCGAGGACCGACGTGGCACACTCCGATCGCCGAATTACGCGTGGGGCGTCATGAGAAACTTGTCGGGCGTAAAAAACTAACACGATTTGGTGTATATAGTATTCGTTTTCGCACGTTCGTTCGCGAGTTATTCGCGATCGTAGGCGAGTTCGGCGCGCGGGTATCGAAGCGGTGCGAGTGGGGACTGTACCAACGGACGCTACGGGAGTCCGCAGCCGGCATAGGCTCAGTTGGCAGCAGCACGCACAGCGAGTAGCATCAACCATGGCCGATATCTCGAAGGACGAGCTACGTAAGGAGATCACCGGTAAGTGGCGATATCACGCGATGTAGGGGATTATGGGGTCGGATTCGATCGGAATCGAGCTACGGAATAACGTGGGCGCGGGTTGCGCGCGGCCGCGGCATCGGGAATACGGGCGAAATCGGGCTCTTTGCTCTTGCGACGTGACGTCTTTAGCGTGCACGTATGTGCCCGAGTGGCGTGCCCCACGCCGGCCATTACAACCGCGATCCGCCGTATTTCGTCACCTACGTATCGAAGTAACGACGGCGTCGGCCGAATATCCGGCCCGTGTAATCCGCCCGTGATTTTCGGACGAGCCACTTCGGTGCCCAGGCGAAAAGTCCGATTTTTCGTCGTTCGCTATAAAAAGATCGCTTTCTCGGCCCCGCCGTATGACGCGTCTCGAGAAGTGTGTGTGGTGGCGCGCGCCTATCTCGCATTCGTGTTCTCTCGTTCGCTCTTTTTCTCTCTCCCTCGCAGGTTTTTCCGCATCTCGGTCTCTCTCTCTCCCTCTCTCTCTCTCTCCGTCCTCGCGTGTGTCGGCGTCGCGTCACGACGGATTTTTGCGTCGTAACGTGCAGATAAAAAAAAATACGCATATATTCCTACGCGAATCTCCTTCGAGAAAGATACGCTCCGTTCGTCGATCAGAACCGAGCGCGCGCGCGTTGCCCTTTTTCCCTCCTTTGCGCGCCTCTCGCGTATCACCGATTGGATAGTCATTGGTTATAACCGCCACCACACACCACACACACATACATACATGCACGCACACACACACATACATATATACATACATATATACATACATATATATATATATTCATCATGCATACGCACACAAAGTCGCCTGACTCCTCTGCCCTCTCGAGATATTTGTTAGTTTACTATCTTTTCCCGCCGCGGTGCAAAGCGCGCTGCCTCTCGCCATTACGACTCGCCCGTTACAAGCCGACGATGTAACGCGCGCGCGCGCGCGTTACTACTGACGCGCGCGTATTTTTTTCATTCGAGATTTTCGGTGAGAGAGCGCCGCGAATCGACCGAATGCGCGCGCGCGCGTTCGCTCCCTCTTATATATATCTCTCTCTCTCTCCTTCTCTTCCTCTCTCGTTCTCTCTCTTCCCTTCCCTCCTCTTCTCGCGATTTTCGATCTTTTCCGGAATTAATGCGCCATCCGCGGAGAAAAATCCCTCCGCGTCCCGTTCCACGCGTCGCATCGTCGCCACGTCACGTACTTCCAGATATCTTTTTGTCAGTCTCTCGCGCCGCTCCGATCGGCGGTGACCGGCACCGCGCGCGCCACGGCGGCCATTTGCGCTCGATATTTACTAGATCCCCCGACGCGGGAAACCATACTACCCCAGATCACGAACACACGCGCGCGCGCGCGAGAGAGAGAGAGAGAGTGTATGCGCGCGCGGAGAGAATGAATGGCGACGTATTCTCGACGTACTCTTATCCCATCTTCCTTATTTCTTTTTCATGCACCTATATTGGAAGAAAATAAATTTACATCTATTTTTTTTTTATTTTTCCACGTTTTCTCCTTCCTTTATAAATGAAGAATTATGAGAGTTGAAAACTTCTAATTTTATTTGTGGACAATTTTTTCTTTATAATTTTTTTTAGGAAATATAATCTTTTGATGCATATATTGATAGAATGTGTTTATTAATTTTGTTTAGCTATCCTCAAGGATGCTGATCTTACTACAATGTCTGCTAAAAAAGTGAGGCAACAAATCGAGGAGAAACTTGATATTGATCTCTTAGAAAGGTAAGCAATGAGATGAGAAACATATATATGATTGCAAAAAATATTTTTGCTTATATTTTGTAATGATCCATAAAACCTATTTTCTCTCAACCTAATTGTAAGTCATTATATTTATATATAATATATGCGCACAAGGTTAATGTAATTGTATGTGTACAAATACGTTTATATTATAAAAGAACATTTTTTATATATCACATATTCTATAGTATCGTCAGTCTGAATCCAACTTAAATTATAATTATACGTTAATAAAACATAGTTAAGATATGAAAACTAACAACTATGTAAAAAATTACTCTAAAATACTTAATTTTTTTTATATATTTTAAAACAATATATTTATAATGAGATATGTATTTTTAAGCAAAAAAGATAATTGTATCTTTATTAAATTTAACTTAATAATTTATCATATACATTATAGATTTTAATGAAATCATTATTATGACAATTTATATAATGTAGTATTTAATTTAACTTGGGTTATTTTTGTAAAAATGAATAAAAAATTCAAGCGGACATATAATAGGCACTTGTGCACTGTAAACTAGTGCAGAAGAGAGTCTCTTGATGTCCAAGAAAAAAATGAGGATTTCTGAGTGGAGCTGAAATAATAAATAGTACAAGTTACCACCTCGTTCCTCCTCTGACATGCATTTAACTTACATTTTATTGTAAATATTGATAATTAATTACATATATTTACAAAATTTTTTCTTTTTTTTATATAGAAAGAAAGAGGTCGATGATTTAGTTATGGAATGTCTTCAAGAAAAACAAGATGGAGGTAAAAAGAAAAAAAAGGCTGCTAGCGAAGAATCCGAAGATGGTGAGGAGGAAGAGGAAGAAGGATCCGAAGAGGAAGAGGAAGAGGAAGAAAAGAAACCAGCCAAACGAAATCCTGCTAAAAAGGCTCCGAATAAACGTAAGAAGGGTTCTTCCGATGATGAAGAAAGCGCTAGCGATGACGATGCCAGTGACGAGGAGTATAGTCCAAAGAAACCTAAAGTCACACCCAAAAAAGTAAGATATATTATTATTAAGTTATTCTATAAATCATGTATTAAGAAATTAACAACATAAATTTTTTGCAGGTAAGCCTGGAAAGAAGGGAAAAAGAAGGGGAGTGACAGTGATAGTGACGAGGACTGGGGTAAAAATAAAAAGGCTCCAGGAAGCGCAGCAAAGAAAGGTGGTGGTGGTAGTAAAGGCAAGGGAGGTGGTTACACACGCGCTATCACACTATCACCAGAACTTGCCGCTGTTGTGGGCGCAGAACAAATGGCTCGACATGAAGTCGTGAAGAAAGTATGGAGCATCATCAAAGAAAGGAATCTTTATGTAAGTATAATCTTTTATCTAAGACTTTTCATTTAATCATTTTATACTTATGCAACATTTTTTATTTGGTCATATATTAAAAGTCAAATACTAGCCATATATGTCAGATATATTTATAAAAAGTGTCACATGTTGTCAATAAAATAATTTTTACAGGATCCTAAGAATAAACAATTTGCAATTTGCGATGAAGAATTAATGAAGGTAATCGGCGTAAAGCGTTTCAGAACTTTTGGAATGATGAAATATCTCAAAAATCACTTTGTAGATTAAATCATATTTCAATCCCGATCTCCGACAAGTTATATACATATATAACATATTCCAAGGTGCGTCTCGTGCACCTCTCCATCTTTCTCACGATACATATATATATACATATATATATACATGAAACACAAACGTATTTCTTGCGACTTAAGACTTTAGACCATGTTTACACCATTCCGACGTACTCTGCCGTCCATCGTAATTATTTTGTCCCATTGGTTATTACAATATCATACTTTGATTCTATAGGCATCATAGATGTGACTTCCAACAAATGTTAGGAATAATATTTGATAATATGTAACGAGTATAATTGCCAGTGTTTTCCTATGATTATAACATTGGGACAATTATTACCATGGACGTTCAGATGATTTCGAAATGAAAATGACATTACAGTGGCCAATAGTCAATAAGCTGGTTTTAAGTCATCTAATTCAAAATAAATGTTATATCATTTGTATGATCGTGATTAATAACAATATCTTACTCCAAACGCGGTAACACGACGCACCATTATAACAATGACATTTAAATGAAGAATTTAGCAATGTACATTTAAATTTGAAAATAATTTTTTTTGAGAAATTTTATTTTAACTGACACATTTATCAAGTTGTGGCACAATTGCTTTCAGTATATTTGAAAAATTTCTCTTTTTTTCTATTATCAAGTATCTTGGTTATCCTTCGGTGTGAAATTACTACCCCTAACAGCACACATATTCGAAAGACATTCAGAAGACATCCAGATGAACATTCATCCAATGTTTCTCTGAATGTCCTTTAAACATCTTTCGAACGTGTGTGTTGTTAGGGACATGGTATTTCTGTCTATTTTGTTTTATTACTCTTTTAAATAAAATGCTTCTTGGAAATATTGGACGTAACAAATTGATAGACTTCACTTCCAAAATGGGAAAAAAAGTGTGGGACGTTTAAAAGAAATGCGGAAAAACAAAGAGAGAAGCTATGCGGAAAATCATCCTGTACCTCTTCTGTATAATAGCTACATTAAACACATGAAAATGTAAGCAAAGTTTAATTGTATTATCGTGTAATTACTAATTATTGTCGTAATATAGGTTTCTTGGTGTAAAAATTGAAAATCTAACATTTAAGATCTAATGATAAAACAATATATTCATTGAAAAGTATGATATAAGCACATTAAAGTCACAGTGCGCGCAGTGGTCTCTGGCGCAATGTTGAAATGTAGGAAGTAAAATGGGCTCACGGAGCGAGGTGCGAAGTCTTAACCGCATACGTCTGTTCGAGCTTTTGACATGTGTAAAATTCGTGTATTTTGAATATAAATTAAAGAAAGCTGGCCTAAATCACGAGAAAAGCCACACGAATGAATTCATACAGTTTGCGATAACGAAAGCATATGCAAGGAAAATGATATGTGCGCACGGAATGATAAATTATAATGCTAATTTTATGTTTCCTAAAAAGAAAAAAAATGGTTTAAGCTGTAATGTTCCGTGAAATGTATTTGGAAGTGTCATTAAAAAGAGTATTGCTTTCATTTTTTTTAAATCGCGTGTAATTTATTTCAATTATTTCCTGGCATTCCTCTGATCATGATCCGATACATATCCTTTAATGTTCTAAATCTAAATCAATATAATCACATGTATTATTGATTATTTACGATACTATTATGTGGCTTCTCTCTGTTAAAATCTATTTTTTTTTTTTTTTATTAATATTATATTTTTGTTCTCTGATTAATGCATATACCTTACGAGTCATTGATAGAAATATTTATTATAATTATCTAAAAAAATTGACTTAAATTTTATAAGTGTTCAAGCTCCTCTTCTAAAAACGACAGAACATGTTGATTATCATCCCGCCTGCCTCGCAAGCCAAATATAAATGTTTTAAGATTCTTTGTATTTGTATAGTTATCTCTTCTGGTTTGAACTTCCTTATCCTGAGGCGGAGTCGCTTGTACGTAAACACCATATCGAAAGTGCGAGTTGAATGTCTGCGTACTACGAGTAACACATCGACTTATATTTGCCTGAGAAATTATCATGTGTGAAATCAACATTTTTCATCTACATAACAAGAAAACAAAGTAAGGTATGTCCTACAAACACATATATATTGCATATATATAACATATACATCTCAATATATCATGACACTTTGCAAGAAATAATGTATTGAAATATTAAAAATTACATATTAGTTAATTAAAATGTGGGATATCATTAAAATTATTAATAGTAGAGAGTATGTGTTTGTGAAACATATAAAAATATATTTCATTGATCAATTATGTTTTCGTCGAATAAAAATCGACTCACCAAACGCAATGCTCTTCGTTTCAACTCCCAAACGTTGGAAGTATAATCTTTATCAATGTAAGGCGGAAGTATGTGAACGTCCGTTTGAATCTTCTGATTATGACGAACTTTTAATTGTAATCCTTTCTCTGTCAATCTTGTAAAAAATATTTTTTTATTTCCAAATAAATGCACGAGACAAAGTAAGATTATACGATCATCAACTCACTCTTCTTGATTTTGCATAGCTTTAATTTCTTCGTGCAATTGGAATAGATGGATATATTCCGGATGATTGCGAACAAAATTGAGTGCCTCGTAAACGTACCTATTAACAATTGGCACTGAAAAATCTGCGGATAGTTTTTATTTACAAATAAAGGTACCTGTCGGGATTTTTTCCAAATTCAGCTGCTACTTCGGGCGATTTAAAAGCGTAAAATTTTCCTCGCCATTTTGCCACACCGTTGTTCGGATTTCCCGGTAATAAAGCTCCTTTAACCGTGGCAAATGTCCATGCACAAAATCCTAGAAACTGATATTTTTGATTAATTATTTGACAATTTATTTAATACAATTCTTGGAGTAAAACCGCGTAATACTTTTAACATATATGTACACAAGCATTTTATTTCTCAAAATCGCACATAAACACACATATGTATATATAAATACTATTTTATTCTAGTTACCTCTAAATTAATTTTCTCAAAGTCCTTTATAACGTTTGGGTAATATATTAAACACTCTCCACACTCCGCTGAAAAAAGGGAAATATTTATACTATTGAAATAAAATTGATAAACATATTCATCTGTAAATTTGTGTTAATTCAAAGAATCGTGAATACTTATTAAATTGCCCATAGAACGTTCCAATCTTTCAGCATCAGTCAGAACATCTATATTTTGAGCTATGTTATCCAGCTTTGTTTGATAGTCATTTACAGTCTGTGACATAAATATATTATTCTGAATAAATATTTCAAAATATGTTAAAATCAAAATATGTTAAAATCAATATCAGAAATGAATGTATTTTTTGATACCTTGTTACTCAGATTCTGTAATTCCCAAAGGAAGTTGTTAATACTGCTCAAAATGATTACTTCATCTTGCAAACCCATCCATATATCCGCTAGATCAATGAATTGTGGCTAATAGGCAGATTACACATTAATCATAATATAATTACATGATTTGACAAACATTTTATCTGATAAAGGCAGATTTTTTAATGTTTTTAATTTTTATTTTTTAATCTTTTTATAATTCCAAAGATGCATTATATATTTTATCACATAAAAATTCTACTAATAAAAAAATACGCGAATAAAAGACTATTTATGTGGAACGACTATAATATTTTTATGAAAACAAGTTTCGAAATTGGAAAGATTCTATAAATGTTTCAATTTTAGGAAAAAAATAATAAATATCTGAATGCAAAATAATTATGCTGTACATCAATTATAATATTTTAATTAATTATATTTTTTTAATTTTTAGGTAACAAAGAAGTCGTATTTACGTAGACTTGAGCAGTAGGAATAGCCGTTCTGTATCGAACAGTATTGTGCAGTTTAAAGAGTCGTGTCTGAAGACGGTCCATCAGAGTCTTTACTGCGTTCTCACTGCGCTCCACATCGCCCAACAGCTTTCTACAACGAGACCATATTTAGAATTATATCAAATGCATATTAAGTATGTTACATATTACGTGGTGTCTTTCAAAATGCACCGAATGTAAATCTCTTGCTGACGACTAGATGTTAGCATCTCGATAGCCCACTCAATTTGTTCTTCAAGATCAGACACCGCTTCTTTCGAACTGCAAGCGTACGAAGTGTCGTTCAATGTGCTCGTAATCGTGTTTTCTACGATAGCCGTAAATTTGTACACCTTGGCCATTAGTGGTTCTAATAGCTCGAGGACAGAATTACGGGTTTTCGTTAAAGCCTCTTGTAGGATGCTAGGTACTAAAAGCAATTATTATTATAATCGCTCGCGGCAAAAGAGTGTGTATATTTTGTCTCTTTTAATATCGTTTGAGTTTAAAGTTATCTTGAGCTCTTACGATCGTCGATTCCCTCGCCGCCGCGTTGACAATCTCTATTAAACAAACGGATTCCAGCGACTATGCACATTAACTCCATTAGTTGTTCTTCTTTTTCCCGTTTCGATAAAGTCACATAGTGAGCTAGTTCAGAAGGTTGAAAGACACTCTGCAACGCCACCGAAACCTCTCTAAGATGTAAAATACGTTTTGTGATTAGGCGTAATTTTTCTAATTTTTTATTGTAAATTTTATAAGGATTTGAAAATAATATATATATATTTAATTTAATTTAATTTAATTTAATAATTTCTTAAATATAATATCTGTCACAACTTTTTATAAATGCAGATTCCAGTTTATAGATAAAAATAATCTTTACTTTTACTCGTGATAATTGGTACAAGAAATTTTCTATAATCAAAAAAAATTAAAAAATATTGATTTTTTATTTGACTTTATATAATTTAAAATTTTTATGAAATTATAATGTAAATATATGTATTATCGTTGTATGATTGAAATACTTTAGAATCGAGGGGACTGTAGGACTTCCAAGACCGCTTAGCAGCGTTATCACTGCTAATATTTTTTGATACAGTTTTTCCGTATCCTTTTCACTTTTCAATTTAGTAGTCTCACAAATTTCGGCAACTAAAGGTCCAGTCTTTTGGTGTAGTCGTAACCGATGTTTTTTGACAGTTTCGTCTGGAGAAAATATGAAACCACAACACAATAATTTATAAAATAAAAATGTCAAAATAACGAATCAAAAATCTTTACCTCTGTCATGATAATGCTTGGCGAAGTACAGCTGATTTTTCAAAGTTATCAAACAAGGTTTGTTTTGATCACATAGCCTCTCTACTATCGCTTGAATTACTTTCGCATTGTTCTCCACATCGTTTTCTTTTATTTGGTATGTTGGATTTAATTGGTACAGAGAAAGCTAGAATTATTTTCGTAAACAATAATTATAATTATTGTTGTTGCTTTGACAAAGTGAATTTTATTAGAATATTTCTTTGATTATTAAATTACCAAAAATGAGGCCAAATCTTTAGTTACTGGTGTTTCTTTCACTTTACATTCGTTTACAATTTTTTTCGTCAATTCTTTTCGCACATTTTCCATCGTAGGAAACAAATAACACTTCTCCCCCAGTTGACTTAAGAAGGCTCACTTGCTATAGTTGTGGATTCAAACAAAACCATCCGTCCATAAAGTTTGATCAATACTTGTATCGAAACCATTTATTGCCGCTGTATTTGAAAATTTCCTTACAATTTCTTTAAATATATTATTATAAAACTAGAAGAGATTATTGCTCATTGCACAACTTTATGCAAATGCAAGCATTGACATAAAAATATATAACCGCACAAAAAAATAATCTTGTATCGATTAATATATTTCTTACTTATTTCACACAACAAATGCCTATAATGTCTAAATTTATTAACGAGCAAAATTTTATGATTTATATATTTATTACTTACTTAACACATTAACATATGTATATACAATTTATAATTTTTCCAGCATGGATTTATGATTAATATATTTATTATATAATTATTTCACACATCAAAATACATACAAGTATAAACTTTATCAACAAGCTCAATTTTTTTACAATGTATATTTATATTTTACACTTAATATTATGTAACTTTATTTAAAAATGTTTTCAGATTTGCAGATAAATGGAAAATCGTAATAGCAAAGAATTGGGCTAATTAAAATTTTATTTCTCATTAATGTGTAAAACTTTGAAAACCTTTTTTAAATAATAAATAAAAATTACAGCATCGGCAATGTAAATTGTTGCGCGCGCATTTAAATTCGAGCGCGCTCGCGGTCGGGCGCGCTCGGCCACTTCCGCGGCGCTTCGTCTCGCCGACATGTTGAAGGTAGGAGAGGGGGATCGCGGCCGACTTCAGAGCTGTCGCAACGGTCCGCGCGAATGGAGCCAGTCGGGCTGGGTGGTCGGTAACGAGAGTGTGGTATGTGCACGCGCGAACGACAGACGCAATATAGCCAACGTGCAAAGAGGCGTGCGTGAGAAGCGTGTTGTCATGACGTGCGCGTGAGTCACGGCCAACGCGACGGCGTTTTGGTGCCAGCCAGACGTGTGCGAGTCTCAGGAACATGGCGCGTGATTCTCGACGCCTCGTCGTCGCCGACGTCGGCGGCGGCAGCGGTGGCAGTGGTGGTGCGACGGTGCGGTGCAAATTGGTGCTGGTCTTTTTGGTGCTGCTGCTCGCGATCGTTGTTCCTGATGCGTACGCCGACAGTCAAGGTAAGTCGCACCGTGAATTTCTCATTAAACGTGTGTCCCGCTATTATGCACTTGCACGCGGGTGTCATTAGCTTCTTTTTGTTTTCCACGGCGATATCTGTCGTCCTTCGCCGCGTACATAGCAATATCGTACATAGTGATACCGTGTTCTGATGTTTGTGATTAACTGTCTGTCATCTGTCATTTTGTTTGGCGCGATTTTGGGAAGAATCGAAGCATCGGATCATTGAAATATGAATAACATGAATATCGTGGGACGTAAAGTTGACGCTGGGGAGAAAATAATCCCGCGCTTGTATTTTCCGATGTACTATTTCAAGGTCATTCGATTGAACTCTATGTTTCATTCATAAGGCATTTAATGTTTTCTTTGCTTATAAGTGTTTTTCTCCGATGTTAAAAATAAAATTTATATCTAAGTGTTAATTTCATATGGTTTCTTAAAAAGTATGCAGCCATGACACCCACGTGACTCGCGCCAAATTCACGCGGCAACAATCATGATTTTTTTGGCGCGCAATTATACAATTTTCAAATATGTATGATTTCCCTTTTATCTACGGCTTACATATCTAATTGTGCTGATTGTAAAATTTTAATGACTATGAAGGTAAGAAATTTTCTCCATTTTGTTATAAATAATCGTATACTTCCGTTTATATTTTCAACATTTCAAATATGTCACATACATATATCGACATAAATATATATTTAGCAAAAGGTATAATAAAATCAACGTATAAATATTAAAATAATATTTGAGAAATATATATAATCAATTGTGCAACGATTTGCGAAAATACTCAAGCAATGTTGCATTTATAAATTTAGTAATATTGAAATATTGATTTGTAATTTAAGAAATATATTTTTTGTGCAATTGATGATGATATACGCGACATATGACACATTCTTATGTGATTGATAATTTGTTTGACATGTTTTGTTCATGCTACAACATTAATGCATTTTCATGGTTACGTGATGTAACTGACGTCATTGCGTGTAATTTCATTTGCAATACATGTATTCGTTGTTTGGGCAAGATGATCCGTGTCATTTATTTCTTCAGGGAATTCTGTAACCACAGACAGAATTTCTCTGTTCGTTTAATATCGCGATGCTATTCCAAGAGATCTCAAGCTTCGCAAGTCGCATTTGAATTAATAATGAACTGGTTGCTGTATAATACATGTTTTATGTTTTATATATATATATGTCAAATACACTTATATACATATACACTTTAAATATTTAAAGATTTGCAAATATCATTTCTTTTGCAAATATCAGAGAACTTAATCTTACCTCAAAATTTAAATATTTTTATAAATATTCTATATTGTATCGCTGTATTACAAACAGTATATATAATTTTAATTTTAATGTTCAATATTTAAAACAATCTTTATTATCAAATATAACCATTTTAAAATTTAAATCGCTTTTCATATATATGCTTTAATTACATTAATGCAGACAGAGAAATTATGTCAATTGTAATGCTACATGATTTTGTTTATAACATATGATTTGAATTTTTTAAAAGAGACTAATTTTTGATGTCATATCGTTAATAACTGTGGATATATAAACATGCAAATATCAGTAATATTTATAAATATTCAAAGGACCATGCCGAGTCCTTTTATCTTTAATATTGAAAATCGATAAATAAATATGACTACTTATCGGGAAAATTGTATAATGTGAAGCGACTACGATAAGAATTACGTATTTAATTTAACGGGGATCTGCATTGTAGATTAAAGCTACGTATATATAAACATTTTATCTCCACATTTTATTTAGCTCTTTTCATGTTATTTTATACTGAAAAGAATTTGTTAACTTGACTAAAGCTTTCAACTAAATATTATTTTATTAATTGATTATATAAAAATATTTAATTTAAATATAACATATTAAATCTAACAAAATAGTAATTTAGTTGAAAAGTTTAGTCAAGTTAACAAATTTTTTTTCAGTGTACCATTTTCTCATTTTCTATCAGACTATAAATATATTTGGTCACTATTCTTGACACATTTTTCGTCAAGGATGGAATATTTATTGTCATGACAGAAAATGGAGTAAAATCTGGAAGCGACCTTAAAATTATTTGATTCTAATTCTCCTTCTATAAAGTAACGTTTCGTTGTAAATTCCATTGCGAAAATTACAGTGTAACAGTCACACCACGTTTACGCCGGGAAGGACAAAGTGAATCACGAGTTTCTTTGTATCGACGACCTTTCTGAGGTGCAAGCGCAACTATGTAAATTGCCACGCGTGCATCTCGGTATCTTATTCATTGTAAATAAGATAGCAATCGTCGTTGCTCACTTCTATTCTTCAAATACGCAATTCTTAATGATTAGCATACAGCTCTAGGTACGGACTGCCACAAAGTATAGGAAAAATTTTGCACAATGCAAATAAGGATCGCCTTTAAAAGATTTCAGTACAAAGATTTAATTGCTCGAAAGTAGATTCATTATATCGATAATCGAGCGCGATTACTTTAATAAGATTTCATTATTTTTCTAACTATAAAACATTTGAGAAATCGATAGAGCAATCGCATCTCTCGCGATTAACGTTTAAATTAAATTTTAATCGGAGAATATTTCTTTCCGATAACGAAGATTATTAAATGATGAATTGTCGCGATCGGTTCCGTTGCAGTTCGGTACAAGTATAAATAATCGCTCTTGCGTATAAAAAGGAGGTCCCTAGCGAGAATGGAAGTATCCTGACAAAGGGCGCCGTGGAATTTATGTCCATTGTTGGACTCGGGGGAGAGAATCGCCAGTTCGTCAATGCAGTCGATAAAAATTTATAGATGTATGTTGAATGTAAATGCGATGGCGGCTGTACGAAGGATTTATGGGGATTTACTTTACGATTTATTTATTCTTTCCGATCATGTGAGGCAAACGCGTACGTTGTTCCTCCGAAAATGCTCCGATTTAGAGGCTGCTTATCTTAACGTTGAATCGATCCCAACGCGAAATCTCCATATTTCTTTTTACCCTTAAATACTATTCGCTGGGGAAAATATCACAAAAATATCACATAAAATAAGAATTATTTCGTATACGTATATTGTACAATATAATATATTTGATATTAGAGGGAAAAGGATGAGATGTAAGAAAAGAAAGAATATATAGGAAGACCAAATTGTGACGCGACTTGATGTAATTATATTATAAACGTATATCATTGGCACGTAAATCTCTGAGATAGTTGAATCTAACCAAGCTTTCGTATAAGCGCGCATTGCGTTCACAGCTGCGTGAAAAAGCTGCCAGCTGCAAATGAGTAATGTCAGAATGCTTGCGCTATATGTAACGTGGTGGGAAAGTGGTTAATCGCATTCGTGGCGGAGATGGAATAGAGATGTATAATCTTTGTGTGTACGTCGACGCGAGAGATGCATATAAGCCTGCGCATTTCCTTGCGTTAAACCTTCCGATGCGCGATCGTGTATATTACTGTTCTTCTCCAAATCGTAAATCTGATTTCATGTTCCTCCCGTTACAAATCATTTCGGACAAGCAGTTAACTGCAAATCCTCATAGAACTGCGGAATGCCGCATCGCGCATGAAAACTAATTTAAACGGTTAATAATTTTTATTATTCTTTTACGATTTCTATTTTTCTATTTATTTTTGGCTGTGATATAAAAGGACTCGAGAGATGTAGACGCTCTCAGAACCTTGTCTTGTAAAAACTCTATGAAATATTATGATAACACATCGACTTTATTTACCATTGGCTTTGCGAACTCGCGTCCAAGTCTTGCTAGCGTTCGTTATTTTCTCGTCCTTCTCGGAATGCTCGACAGTCCGTGAAGGTGCCGACAAAAAGACCTTGATACGACCGCTTGGTACTTCGGCGTATTGAGAGTACTGTGCGCGTATATTTTCTTTGATTTGATTTGATTTTATTTTATCTAACCAACTCTTTTCGCCATTAGATTTCTTACTGTACTCTCAACTGTTCCAGTACGTGACGTATGTATATATATTTTTTATTTTATTGATATTTTATGGAATGTTATAAATAAAATCTTTATTAAATTTTAAATTTCCCAAAGTAAGTATATCTATTATATTTCTGTTATATTCTATTTTATTTATATATAACATATATAAATATATATTTATAAATGATGTTAACCGAATATAACAGAAATTTAATATATATAGAGTTAGGTAAAATTTAGAAAACTTACAATTCAATAAAGATTTTATCTGTAGCATTTCATAAAATAGAAATAAATAAATATATAATATACATGATAACAATGAATACAATTAATAAAGCAATAAATATACATATATATCTCCTCAACATTGCGTTTTATCTTTTTATTAACATTTTATTATATTTGATTTCGCGTGATTTCAAATAAAGTCTGTCGGGGATATGATACTTAGAGTAGGAATTCATCCGTGACGAACCTGAAACATTCTGCATTTCCGGTGCCGACGATGAAAAGCGAATCATCGTTGGTTGAGTCACCATCGTTGAGCTGTTGCGTACTCAGAACGAATGGATCGCTGTTAATCGATGATTAACGCGATTCTTTCGATGATACTCCCGAGAGTAATCGGGAGTATTTCTTCGAGTCGGCATGTTATTCATTCAAGTATTCGCTCGTAGAATAATGAGTGGCGTCTAACGAAGGAGATCGATTCACGGAGACTTCCGTTTATTTCTCATTACGCCCGAGTGCAAAACGGTGACAAATTGCACATTGTCTCTTTGCGGAGATGTTATATCTCCCGCTGAAAATGTAACAAAATGTAATGGCATCGTAATTTATGTACCAAGTACAATCGACATCATATGCCATAAATCATATATACTTATTATTATAAATTAACTTACTATTATCATCATTCTTGGTGACAAATTTCAAAATGAGAGAAAAAGAGAGATTTTAACAAAATAATAGATACTACTATCTCTTTTATTTTTTCACTTT